TGGATAGAGTTCCAATTGCTCCCTGGAGGCACCCAATTCCTCAGGTTGATCTATACCCGAAACACTAGACCCACGTGTCTAGAAGCAAAACCCTGTGAAAGGTCCTACCGGCGGGAAGTACGAGAAGCCGCACGCCATAGATGTCAGAAGCCGTGATCGTGACTCTACACCACCGTATCGCACCGGACACGAGAACTTAAACGCTCCATGGGTAAATCCCGTGTTGCAGCAAGCAAACGTTTCCCCCCGACGACCACCTAACCTCCACGTCGCATCCCATCCTGTTCACCCTCCTAAACTCTCAGTAGCATTGTTGGCCGGCCTACACACGGACATTTGTAAGTCATAGTTGGTAGTGAATAAACCGTACCAAGCTTAAAACACGATTACGTTTGATTCTTCGAATTCTTCGAATGACTTGATTACCGAACAAGTTGTAAGAAGCCGACCCTGAGAGCGAGAGGACTCAAGTTTGAGCTTGCCGGTGACAGAAAAGAGGTCTTGAGAGCCCACCCTCAGTGATCCTCGGGGTTTACCCACCGACGAACCGACATGCCACTGGACCATTTCGTTTGTCCGCAATACGATTTGTCAAATGAATGATTCGATCGAGCAAACGGGCTCGTAGTTTCGTAGTTTCTGTGAGCTGGCACGTCGGTTCGTCGGTGGTTTACCCAGGGATCAAGGGGTTTGTATGCGGAGTTTTTATAGATTTTGAAAAAGTTTTTCAAAGTGACTGTATCCAAAAAGTATAGTCCACTCTACGCTCTAAAAAATCTTCACGTTCTGATATGTATTTAAAAAATCTCAAATGTTACGTGACGTTAGTAACTTTGACCTGCATTACACGTCATGTCCACTAAAAATGTTGGTGAAATTGACCGTATATTCACGTAAACAGGTTTAGTGCATTTGTGTTTGTGTGTTTGGGACTTCGATATTTCCGTGAAACAAGATTTACGTGATTTTCAGGTACACAAAAAAAAAATCAATATGCAGTTTCGAACGCCTTTGGATACGGTTGTGTTTTAAGTTTGTTCTCTGTTTTGTGCGTGCGTTCGCTCTCATAGTTTTCGGCTGCAATTGCTGGATTATCGCTGGCGCTCTGCCTCCCGGACGTTTATACGTGTGTGATTGGTAGTTTTCTCGCTTTCCGGGAAGTTTTAGAATAGAGAAAGAAAACGTGATTCAACATGTTTGAAAGCATCAGAATAGATGTCGCGATCTGCGTTGTTTGATTTTCTCCCGGACCAGAAATTAGTGGCATTGCGAGTGATAATTTTTAATTTCAGTTTATTTACGCGCTGCAAGGTGCGTGAAAGAGCTCGGCACAATCGGTGTTGATGTTGGCTCGCTTGTAACTTTTTTTGTTGTGTTTTCGAAAGAAATTGAGCGAAATTGTACCAAAAGTGCTTCTGAACGTGTTTCGCAGTTGGATGTGGTGAAATTCGTGAATTCGTGGTTTATGTTCAGTGAAAATTCCGTGTCACAAAATTGCTCACCGAGTTTCCTTTTTTTGCCGTTCGACGACGACAGGTTTGCGAGAGAAAAATAAGCATCGGGAATTTGCTCCCGGATGTATTGATTTGGTGAGTACGTTCCAGTTGAAGATTGCTCTTATACATATCTCGATTGCATTTTCGAGGGGACGTTCGGAGAGCTTTGAGATTTAGGCGTTGTTGCATTTGCGGGCAGATAATTGGTCGCCGGTAAGGGCCAGTAAGTGCTGCCAGCAGATGAATCAAGAGGTATTCGAAACAAAATTGATAAGAACTGTCCATTCAAATCGATTTAATGCAGTTGAACAAATTTCAAAACTATATACGTGCCAGATTTGGAAATAATATTTTTTGAATCTGGAAGTGTGTTTATGATACCATTATGCATTTGATAAAGGTAGAATGAACATGCGGGGCTTATTGTAAGTAAAAGTGACCTCGGAGTGGTCGTGAATTACCAGGCATTCTGAAATGGGTCACTGGAGCTGCAATAGAGCTAACACCTTCTAACTCCCGGACTAAACCTGCTTTAATTTAAGGGTAATAAAAAGCAGTTTTCTTCCATAATAACACTGCCGGACAGTGGGGGTTAGATTGTACACACACACACACACACACACACACACACACACACACACACACACACACACACACACACACACACACACACACACACACACACACACACACACACACACACAAAAAAAAATCAATATGGCATCACCGAGCGTGGTGGAATCACTCCTCAAAGATTCAAAATTCCTTAGCACTTGCTGCAAATGTTGAACGGTAATTAGATTCTTTTACATTAATTTATTTATCATTATATGTAGCCTTTTTCTAGTTTTATAATTTCATACGGTGACATCAGCATTTTAAGTCTGCAAACAGGTGTTAATATTTTGTCAGAAATTAAAAAAAAAAACTCATACAAGTTTCTACCTTATAATAATCAATTAGTCAATATTTTACAATTTTATGAGTAGATATAAGCAGGGATGGAAAATTATTTACATTCATTTCGTGCATTCATTTACCTTCATTTGCCTCTAATTTTTTTCATCAACAGAATAGCGTAAAATTATGTATGAAGCTTTTGTAGCTTTTGGTATGAACTACAACTTTTGTTAATAACTAAAATCTGTATCTCTTATGCATGACGAAATAGAGCTTGCAGAACATGTTTTTGTTTTTCAGTGAATGCAATTTACATTCACTGAAAAACAATGGCGGGTTCTTAGCGCTCTGATTCATCTTGCATAAGAGATAAAGATTTGAGTTGTTTACAAAAGATGTAGTTAATATCAAAACCTACAAAACCTTCAAACACTATTTTATGGAATTATGTTGATGAAAAAAGTTAGAGGCAAATGAATGTAAATGAAAGCACGAAATGAATGTAAATGATTTTTCATCCCTGGATATAAGTATTAATCTAAATACGTGAAATTTATATCTTCCCGATAAAATTGCATAATATTGGCTACTTCTATATATACTTCCCATTATTCTAAATGAAAAATCACGTGCAAACTACATGAAAAGCATTTTAAACAAAACGGAATGTCACGTAAAAGTCACCATATGTCCAGTAGTTTTCACCCCGATTTCACGTAAGCAGTACGTTGAAATCAGGTCTTATTTACCTGACTAATCACGTAGATAATTGAAGCTGAATTTTGATCGGCTACGTTCAATTCCGGTAAAAGTTACGTGAACAATAGGGTGGACGAAAACCACCTATGTTTTCACATCAATCGGACGTGAAGATTTTTCAGAGTGTAAGGGTCTTGACACTTTTTCACGGTCCAGAATCTAATATTGTCTTTAGAAAGGATGAATTAGCTATCGAAATTCACGGATTTCTAAAGGTTGTTCCCGAATTTTCCATCTTCTTGGATCACTGCACATGCACAGTGGTCAAAAATGGGAAATTTGCAGGAAAGTGCATTTGGAGCCTGAAATTGAAACATTAGAAAAAGTTGTTTTCTACAAAGTTGTCCCGAACTGGTAAGTCCTCATTTTGGAGGCAATTAATACTACACACTAATCCGTCGCTCCAAGTTTAAAAATCAGTGAAACATCCAATAATTAGTGAATTTATTCCGAACTTGTGCAGACTTTGTTGTTTGTCCCATTTATTAATAAAAAATAAAATTTGTGGAATTTTTCAAGCAATTGTGTGTTTATTCTTTACCAAATGATAAATACAGAGCAATGGAAGTGGGGTCTTCCTTAGTACAGCCGGCAAAGGTGCAGCTACAAAGCAAGACCATGGCTGTGTTTGATTCCCAGTTCGGTCTAGGAATTTTTCGGGTTGGAAAATTGTTTGACTTCCCTGGGTTTAAATAGAGTATGATTGCACTTGCCACACAATTATACTAATGCAAAAATGGGACAGGCATCGAAAGCTCTCAATTAATAGCTGCGGAAGTGCATCTAGAACACTAAGATGAGAGCACGCCATAAGTTAAACTGCGATAATCAGGCATGGAAAATCATTTACATTTATTTCATGCAATCATTTACATTCATTTGCCTCTAAGTTTTTTCATCAACAGCAATCCGCAAAATGATGTATGGAGCTTTAGTAGGTTTTGTTATTAACTACAACTTTTGCCTATAACTCAAATCTGTATCTCTTATGTCTCACGAATTACAGCGGGCAGAACTTCTTACTGTTTTTCAGTGAATGTAAAATAAATTCACTGAAAAACAGTAGTGGCTTCTGTTCGCTCTGGTTCTTCATACATAAGAGATACGGATTTAACGGACGGTTGTTAACAAAAGTTTTAGCTAATAACAAAACCTACAAAAGCTTAATACATCATTTTGCAGATTGCTGTTTATGAAAAAAGTTAGAGGCAAATGAATGTGAATGATTGCATGATTGCAGGCTTTGTTCTTTTGTCGATGCAGCTTGAACATTTTTCAGCAATGTTGAACTTTAAAACAAATTGCTGCTGCTACGCCTATGCTTATTTCCAGGACTTCAAATGAAGAAAATAGCCTGTTGAGCTGGAAGTAGCGAGCAAACTTCAACCTAAATCCTTCACTAACCCCGCTTTAAGTTATACCCATGGTGATGATGATCCTCACTCCCTTTCTTTGTTAGCATATCCACAGCGCAGATTATAACTCTCATTATCCTCTTCTTCTCCGTTGGCGCTCGTTGGCTGCTAACTACCAACCATCTCCTCCACCACATAGAAAGCGAAAAACTTTTTTTGTTGGCTTCAGCCAAACGGCGAGGAAAAAGTAACCAATGTTGAAATAGTAATGACACGACCAGAATCTCTGATGAGTTTAATCCTTGCAGGAATCCTTACAATGGGGAAAGTTCCTTTTCTCTCTCACAACTTCTATCACCGTGGACTGTCGGAAGCTGATGGTCATAATCCCCTGATGTATAATTAAAATCCATCCTCCTGCGGTCATCCGGAACGATGCGTGATTGTCATTTCGGTTTTGCAAAGAAAAATAATAAGAGGAAATCCTTACCTTGTTGGGATTGATGTGCCAGGATCTTCGCTTGCCCTGCTGCTGCTGTCTGGATGCTGCCGTCGTCGACGAAGCGCTCGATGTGTTCTCGTAGATGTCGCTCGGGACCGGACTGTTGAGATTGGTTCCTGGGCCAATCGAGGGACAGGGCGATGATGCCGGAGACAGGGTGAAACAGCCCGAATCGTGTGGTTGAATTATTTTCAGTCGATTGCCCGGACAGATGCCCTGGAAAGGAGGAGGGGAATTTTTTCCATTAGAATTAGATAATCCGGAAGGTTGAAAACAGATCAAAGTTACGAGCAGGAATATGGATTTAAACGTTCCGGTTGCAGTAGAGCATTTTCAGGCAAATAAGCTAAAAAAAATGAATTTCAGACACGACCTTCTCCGATTTGCATGAAACTTTGCACAATTGCTCGTTATGGTCAATCATTCACATTTGTGCTGAAATTCGGCTATTTTGAGTCACAAAAAAAAAAACTTAAAAATGGCGTATTTGACATTTTTTAACAAATTATAACTCGAAAACGTCACTTCCAATCGAAATGACGTCTGAAGCAATATTGCAGTAAAAAATATTTCGTTTTCAGGAAAAATACACGCTCTAAAGAATGTCCAGTAATTTTGAGATAAAATCCAAAATGTGTTTGAAACTTAAGGGTCATGCCTTCCTGCAAAGTTTAAAAAAAATATTTTTTTTATTGCATAAATCGAAAGTCTATATATGTAGGGTTAACTACCCCATTTTCGGCCTATTAAGCACAACCCGCACTTAGTCTTTCTTAATCTAACGCAGTTTAGCACCAAATGGAATGTTATTATTACTGATGGCTTCCAAATTTATTTACCTTTCCATACGTACCGTAAGATTTGATAAAGAGAAACCAATCGTTGAGATATTATCAAAAGTCCAACACTGCTTCTTGACGCCAAACTCGGCCTACGGATTCTAAACTCAGCCTAACGCATTGAAACACCATTGAAACGCCAATGAATTCACTTCGGCCTATCGGATCGAGATAAAAATAGATTCGGTCGGAACGCTTCTTTTGTTTTTGGGAATAATGGGTGCAAATCTTCATATCACGCGCTCTCATCGACTTCGTTCGGTAGCTTATTAACTAAAGTATTGTACCAAACGCATAATTGACTTGTTAACTCTGAAATCATGGATTTATTTGAAGTTTTCTGCTCGATAGGCCCAAAATGAGCGATTAGGCCGAACTAGTTCTCTACCCTATTTGAAATAATTTTATAAATATGCAACTTTGAAGAGTACAATGTCCATGATACCGGGAATATAACTTAAAATTTTAAACGCGATTATCTCGAAAACTAATTTTCAAAGTCAGTGTGTGTTTTACCTCAATTTCAATACATTCGATTTGTTAAGATATTTTTGTGTATTGTTAACAACTGTTTAATTAAGGCCTTGATCGTTCGGATTTCCCATATTTTAAATTTTCGATTTTTTTTTTGAGATTCTAGAAGACGAATGTAAGCAAAATAAATGTGTGAAAACATATTTCAATGTCGCTTACTTGAATAACCAGGGCCGTCTTCACCATCATTGGTGGTAATGGTCTATTTTTATTGCGGCCCCCCCTACGATTTGTTATCAATTTTCATATTATTCGTAATATTTTTTTTGCTTACCTGCTTTTATTCACACATACATTTAATCTTACTAAACTAAATCTGTTGACTCCTGACTCCTCTTGCTTGTGTATTTTTTTAAAGAAGTTTTTATATCAATTTTCATCAATACATCGTACTCAATATTCGTGATCAGTAACCAATTAAGTCTGGTTTATAGTATCCCCCAATTTATTTTCACTCATATTAATCTATTTTGAGCAGTTGGTGATCATCATTGAATGAAATATCCTGTCAATTATTCTCACATTTAGGAAAACCGAATTCGTTAAAAGCAATTTTGGCTTTATCATAGTCGTATAGACTTGGGACTTATAGAGCTTGAGCTTGAGCTTGAGCTTGAGCTTGAGCTTGAGCTTGATTGACCGCCCACGGTTGCTACTCTGTTACTGCCAGATCAGCTGTAATTACACAGAGAACCAATAGACGATGCTTGGGACTAGCAATCAACCTCAATGTGTAAAAACTGGTGATCTTAAATTAGGCAATACCAGCGCCGGCCGCGCCCGAACACAGTTCAAGAAAGGAATGGGAAGGATTGTGTTGACATGACACTCGCTTTGATGGAAGCCGAGAACACCTCTGCACTTCCACGAGGAATCACTGGGATGTTGGATAAGAGGGTTGGGTTTGCAGCAGGGTTCGTTTTGGTAAACGATAAGCTGAATTGATGTCCTAACGATCATATAACGCGAAGGAGCTTGGGACTAAACCCACGGTCTTCTGCTCAGTAAGCAAAAACGTTTGCCACTAGGCAGACGAGCACCTTTTTAATCACCGAGTTGCTGTTATTACCATGTAGTCATATTAACAAATAAAACGATTGACGAATCTTGAATGTGGATGGGCCTGAGATTAGACTCATGATATTCTGCTCAGTAAGCAAAAACGGTTGCTCTAAGGCCACCGAGCCCCTCATATCACATAATACCGTTGCTCAAATTTGTGTATCCATTCAAACCCGGAACCAACGACAACAACGAGTTTCGCAAAATACACGATACACAAGCGATTTTACCATAAATCTCTTTGATATGTAAGGACCTGGGACCGCGTTATTCTGCTCAGTAAGCAGGCCACTGTAACCGACGAAAACTAAAAACTACGAAAAAGTACTTAGGCCTTTATTAAGTTCCACTTTCACGCGACGTTCAATGACAGGGTCCTATCCAGGATTACATCTGAAAAATCCAAATCTGGCCAACGCCCACCTAAACCTGTTCTAATCCACCTGAAATGACTAACGAATGGAAGACTTTGACTACCCAGCCATGCAATAGTCTCATTCCGTGCCTTATGGCAACTTGATGATTCTATTGCGCTCATCTTTTGGCACCACCCAGGGGAGACTTGGTTCTGTACCCAATGCTTAACTTATCTCCATTCCACTCAGCTACTCGCAATTTCTTGTGATATAGTGGGCGGAATATTATTATATGAGACAATTCAATGCAGACGTCTTTCCAAATTTGGCAGATCGACAGGTAATCGGTGAGTTACCACGATAGTTGCTATTAAACAACTCGACAACGTCCCATCGTCAACGCCTGCTATGAGAATTTCCCATTGCAGACGCCAACGAAATGACGTCATCGAGCTATCGATCAACTACCCTGGTTATCGCCTGGTACCTTTTAGCACGATGCTGGGAGGCGAACCGGAAGAATCGATGAGCTACCTCTCCCCCCGTATAGACTTGGGACTTATAGAATAGAATAAAACCTTGATAAAACTTGCTACTTGGTATCAGTCCATATGTCCATAGTTATTCTGTATAGTGAATTTAAACTATTATAATAATTGTCATCCTCATCAACAAAATGTTTCATTCATAGCGTTTTTATGTTACTTCATACGCGAAGTTTGCAATTTTCAGAGTTGGTTGGAAATGCTATCTAACATGAAGCTTTAGTGTGATAATTTATTAGCCAGAGAATGGTCTTAGAAGAGGGTAGGTAGTTCCTCTCATTTTCAACTTCTATTCAATTTTCATACTAACGTACTCTAACGGAACTATCTACCTACCCTCTTCTAAATAATACACACTAAAGCTTCATATTAGATAGCATTTCCAACCAACTCTGAAAATATTTCAGCTGTTGATATTCTCAAATAAATTTCTATACCTTCATGGTTAATTTGAGCAATGACAGTTCATCATTAGTGCATTTTGTAGACTGCTTTCAAATTGCAGAGCAAAATATTTTTTTCCAACGACAAATGAAAAAGCTTAACTCTGTTTTTTTAAAGCTGGGTCCAAAATCAGTTTATTTTTGAAAAATATAAGCGTCACAACTCATCTTCTTCTGGATCTAGTTCTGGCCTACCAAAAAAACGAGATTACTTTCTAGTCATAGTGCATTGGAAAGGAATTGAACTTATTCAAAAAAATTCCGAACGTAAACAATACAGAAATCAATTCAATGCAGATCACAATCTTCACCAATCTTCATTCAAGAGCTGGAAGAATCGGATTAGCAATATATTATTGCGAAATTTTCCGTAGGTTTCCTTCCACCTGGTTGCTCCATCTTATCCCATTTATTCATTGAATGCAGCTCGGTCGGTTGATGAAGCAAATTAAATTTGACGATGTCTGAAATTGAGGAACACCGTTCGTTTTGACTTTCAAAATAGAAGTGCGAGACCGTCAATGGGTAAAATTTCCGATTTTTTCGTGATGCTGGATGCGAATTCTGCTGAGATGGAAGCAAGCTATCAGGTATCGAAGGAGAAAGCACTATTCATCAACTTTAATCGTTCTAGTTAAAAAAATTTCTAAGGCATATTTTAAGGAACTTTTAACGCGATTTGTTAGAATTGAGCTATAATTGTACAAAAACAGATAAATTTCCGAATACAAATATTTTGGTATGATCTAGTACAACCAAACTATTCTGAAGTTTAGACCTTTATCTTTAAAAAATCAACAGAGACTCAAAAGAGATGTTCTGCAAAGATATGATTTCAAAAATTCTCGTAAAGCCCAAACACATCGTATGAAATTAAGAACAGCAATAAGTGGCACAATAAGATCTTCAAACCATCCTGAAGGATTGATCTTGAAGTTCTTCATGCTCAATCGAGTTTTTCTCGATGTCCCGATAATATGTACGACTCCAGAGAGCTTTTTAAGAGCTTATTTATTGTTTATTGTTTATTGTTTATTTGGAGGGAAAAGCCAACACTAGTGGGCGCAAAACGTCATCATTTCAGTACCAACAGATAACATGGAATCCTACAGATACATTTGCTTGAACTAAGTCCTAAACATATAAAAAGATATTAATGATATTTAACATAATTAACTTAATTTAAGTACAGAAAATAGAAACCGCCAGGAAGTTAAAAGTACATTATAAAACATATGCTTAAGCCTAGCACGGGAGATATTAAAATCAAAGCAGTAATAACATTTGTTGAAAATATTGCACATGCTAGTTAACGGCTCATTAGCGCCATAGTTTGTGCGAGAAGCCGGGATGTTGAAAAAATAATAAGAACGTAAATTTCCGTCTGATATTGACATTCAACTGCTGCAGAAGGGAACTACAATTGATGTCCGATCG